ATTTGGCATTGATTTTAGTCTAAGTAAAGCACATCTAAAAAGTTGATCTTTTGGTTTAACTGTCTGTTTGGAGGTGCTGCTTTGGGGCACTAAGTCTAGCATGTATAGTGGACTCTATTATTCTCTGAAATCTCTTATTTGCTCCAGCGTAGGCTTGAATCTTTTTCTATTCTTTCCCTTCACCTCCTGCAGTCACCTTCAAAAAATGGCATCGAATGGTCATGTGTCAATGCCATTTTATAAAATGAACTGCAGAGATTTACTCCTTGCTTCCTATTTCCTGTTCATTCATGCAGTAAGGGAAGGCAGACTTGACCTAGTCCTGTTGATTTATGTGCATATTAATATTAATTCTACAGATTGTGGGGTTTTTTAAGCATTGTGGACAAATTGTATTAGAAGCACGGTACAGGTAGAGCCTGGGAAGCTTCATATTACTCTGTGCTTTTTTTAGGATTTTGTTCTTTCAGATTGAATTCCAGTAAGGCTTTTTGCCACCTTTGAAGCGTCTGTTGCACAATTAAATCCTTCTGCAATAAACACTTCCTATGAAAGAATGATAGATCTAATCCATTTCAGGCTTAGTTTTGTTTTGTTCAATCGTACTTATTTGTTATACTGCATTCCTTCGGAACTTGCTATTTTACTACCTTTCAGGGGCTACTGGCTTCAAAGGACTTTGTTTCTAGCTTTCCCTTGTCATAAACACCTTCCCTCTGGGCAGAGAAGGGGACCTGGGCAGAAATGGCATCCCATAATACACTGGAGCTGTGCTGGCTGCACGGGCGGCTCTGACTCAGCCTCTTGCTCTCTCAGTTAATGTAAATAATTCTGTGGTTTCATCTCTAAGACATGGAGTTACCAGACCTGCCCTGAATGGAAAATAGGCCAACAGGAGATAAACCAGTGATACAGTTAAGCACTTTATCCCTTCCCAAACACCTAAGTGAAGAGCCTTGACATTTTTCAAGAGCAACCTTCTCTAAATAAAATGATATTGAAGTATATTTTAAGTAAGATGATGCAATTAATACTTTCATTGATTCTAATATAGCTATTTAGTCTTTTAAAAGTTTAAATGATTTTGTTGGTAGCTGATAATGTTGCTTGTATTTTTAAGTTCTTGAATGTGTTGGAGATGTTCCCCCAAAATCCCAATCTGTTTCTTCTCTTCCCTGTAGTGCACTTATCAGGTAATAGCAACACGACAGAACAAGTTATCTGTAAACCTTTACAGCTGTGCTTTTGGTTTCTAAAACAGCTGTAGGGATATTTAATGTACCTCTGTTCTAGTCACACAGATTTCAGGGTGTGGGGGAATGGAGAGCAGAAAGAAGTAGCTTTGAAAGGCAAGTATTTTAATAGTTATGCTTATCATCAAGATGGGTGGTTTTGGTTTATTAATGGATTGCATAATCTGATGCCTACAAGCGGCTGAAGTTTCCGGGGTTTGCCCCAGACTGGACACGGGGTGCGTTACCCTCGCTCTGCTCGCACCCGTACCTTCCGGGGTCTGGGGTTTGCCAGTGGGTGATGACAAGGGCAGTGTTGGGTTATGGTGTGCTGTAGCTCTCCTGTATAAAACCCAGTCCTGAGCAGCTCTAATACATAGCAAAATATTCTTAGTTGATGTGAGAAATACATGTTAGTCTTCACTTTTAAGTCATTTTCTGAACCTCTCTATGAGATGAATAATTACTGAACATTAGAGCTTGGCCTCAGGTTATGCCGTTATTAATTCAGAGTAACCTGTTGTCTTTATTAGAGCTATTCTATAATTAACCATTGTAATTAAAATCAAGATATTATATTGAAGGCGCTCAATTTCCATTCCACTCGGACACTCTTACATGTAGGCCAGGGGTGGTTTTGCCTTTCCTGAATTAGTGTCTCCTTGTGTAAATCTTATTTGGGAGGGCCATCAAAAGGTGGCTAACCCATTGTCTTAAACTGGCAATTATAAAACATGGGATGCGTTCACTGTAAAAATGTTCTGTATTTATTGAAAGTGCAGAATCTGACCTATAATTTACATGATAATTTAAATCTTAATAAGTCAGAATGTGCTTACTGTGGGTCCTTTTCAAAATGTTGATTCAAAACATGCAAGAGGAGATGAAATGGGTGAGGCAGGACACAGAGTGCTGCGGGTCACTGGTGCCAGCCAGGAGGTTCCAGCACGGAAGGGCTTTCTAATCCGCATACTTAAAACCAAACAGACTTCGTAACTTTATTTCTCTTCTCCTAATTACTCTTAACTACGTTTTTTAAGTTGCAGTTACAAGTTTGCAAAACTCTTCTAATTTTAAAAGCCTGTTACAGTCTAAAAATGTATCTTTTCAGTTGATTTCGCTGAAACATAAACCGGGTGGACTGAAGTGCCTTCACTTCTGCAGCCTTAAAATAACAAGGTGCTTACTCAGGGCCCTGACTCTGTTTATTTAACTACATTGTAGTTACTGTTCTGTTGCCTGTGAGCAACTAATTCCTATAGCTCCTCCTATTTCTATTTCTGTAGTCACCAGAAGCTTTAACTAAGAACAAAAAAGCACAGTTCTGTAGAGGAGTCCGAAAAACTATATATATTAATAAAAAAATAAATAACACCTCTCTGTCTCTCCCCCATTGACCATCCTGAGTGGGCATTCCTTTTCCTTGTTGCTGAAGGGTTTGACTGTTCCCATTGTGTTCCAATTCCCCCCTCCAGGCTGTTGTGCAGAGCCGTAGCAGTGGGGATGGGGCACGGGAGGGATTCCTGGAAAGTCAGGAGATGGGTGTTGTTCCTCCTGAACTGCCTCAGGTTCCCCATAGGCAGTACCACAGACACGCGTTTGACGTGATTCAGTTAAAGATCTGCTGTGTCATGTTGCTTCACAGGACAGGAGATACAGTTCTCGTTCCAAGGAAACTGAACCACTGGGATGTGGTAGTGTGAGGTGACAGCTAAGGAGGGAGATGGCCACAGCACAAACCTGGGTGCTGAGGGAAGGCACCCGTGTTACAGGGGAGGTACTAAATCACTGCATGTGCTGTGGGGAGATGGGCTTTGGTGGCTGGGGAGATGCTGAGAAAGGAGGAGATGAGAAGGATCTCATAAAAAGCTCTGTCATTCATTTTATTTAGCCAAATGTTCTAATGCTCTGCACCTTTTGGGAGCTTTGGTGTGACCTGCAGGATGTGAAGGATCATTACAGGACAAGTCTCTGCTGACTAACTCGGGAGGGGTTCTCAAAGAACAGGGATGGCAGAAAACCAGATTTGTAAAGCGGCATCTTGAACGGTTCATGCATCGTTTTTTTTCCCCTTGGAAAAAGGGAACTGAGAATTGCATCAGGGACCAAACAGGAGGGGACACGGGGCGGTCCCGTGCAGTGACTGCCGGTGCCAGGGAGCAGGTTGTGTGGGGGCTGCCCAGGGCAGCACCGGGGGGTCTGGCACTGCCGGCACCCAGGTGGGCACCGCTTCTCGGTGGGGTGACGGCGCGGCTGGCTGCGGGGGAGCTGGAGTACGGGGGAGGTGATGGCAGGGAACCCGCCGTGGGACTGACCTGTGGTTCCTGCCGTGGCAGGGGGGTGACAGGGAAACACACCTCCAGGTGGGACAGTGTGCGAATCCCAGTGTGGCCCTGGCACTTCTCAGCGTTTGTAAGGGCTCCTGGCTGAGAGCTGTAGCTGTCTGGGGGTTGGGGTTGGGTGAAGCCAGGCTGGGCACATCAGGACACTTCCTGCTCCTCTCCTGGCAAACTGGGCTAGGGGAGGTGTCCCTGCCCAGGGCACTGGGCTGGAACTGGATGGGCTTTAAGGTCCCTTCCAACCCAAACCCTTCCGTGCTTCTCAGCAGTGTGTTGCAATCACCCAGAGTGGCCTGGCATGAACGTGGTGCATCGGTGCCAGCGCAGAGTGGGGAGGGGGGATGGTGTGGCTGGCTGTATCCCAGGTGGGGTGATGTGTCTGGCTGTATCCCCATCAGGGTGATGTGGCTGCTGGCTGTATCCCCATCAGGGTGATGTGGCTGGCTGTATCCTCAGCAGGGTGATGTGTCTGGCTGTATCCCGGGCAGGGTGATGTGTCTGGCTGTATCCCAGGCAGGGTGATGTGTCTGGCTGTATCCTCAGCAGGGTGATGTGGCTGGCTGTATCCCGGGCAGGGTGATGTGGCTGGCTGTATCCTCAACAGGGTGATGTGTCTGGCTGTATCCCAGGCAGGGTGATGTGGCTGCCGGCAGGGCAGGACCGCGGCAGGCACGGTTTAGGTTGGTTTGCACATGGAACCGCACCCAAGGACTGAGGTGTTTTTCCTCTCTACCCTCCTAAAGCAAATGACACAGTGCAGCTTTTCAGCGCTGGCGGCTGAAGCACACTGTGTGACTGTGCTGGAGACAGGGAGCACACGGGGTGTGTGTAGGAACTGGTGATGCTGAGAAATCTGCTGCTGGCTGTTGGCTGATGCTGTACCGACGGGCTGCACGCGCCGATAAAAGAGCATGGGAAATTAATCAGCACACGTACCCGTCTGGTTTAGTGTGACTGGGACTGCGTGTGAAAGGTTGCTGTCAAAATTCTGAAGGCAGAGTCAGTTAATAAACATTAACGTTTAATTTTCAGACTACAAACCGGATAGCAGCTATTTGGATGGTAACAAAGATCTCTAGTTCTTGTGTGCTATTCTCTACTTGGCAAGAAAAGCAGCTGTTACTAAATCACTCTGGGCTATTTTGGAGAGAAGGAAGTGTTTATTTTGTCTGGCACTCCATGTCCCTTTTGCATAATAACGTGTGATTAATTATTCTTCTATCACTTATGAGCTTCTTGGTTTGTCTGTGGCCACATCTAGTTATTTATTTAAGCTGGCTGTGATAAGCAACAGCAAGAAATTTCCTATCCCTCTGAAATGCATTCTAGTTAATAAATCTGTTAGTTAAATATTTTTCATTACTGGTCTGTGTTAACTAACTTCAGAACTCCATGAAAGAAACAAACACGGTTGTGTGTTTATCAACAGGCCAAGTTCTCATTGAAATTTCAAGAACACACAAGAAACTTAATGACAGTCTAGAGGAGAGTGTAAGTTAAACAATTTCTTTTTTAGTTTACTTTCTTTTGAAAACATAAATTACTTGTGCCAATTTTTAATAACTCTTCATTCATTTGCTTTTAAAGTTCAAAAAATTTCATAAGGAAATTATATCTGAACTGGAGAAGAAAACAGACCTGGATGTAAAATACATGACTGTGAGTACATTCACTTCTGAAAGTCCTACTTTATTGATCTAGTCCTGCTCAGAGAATTTTTCAGAAACTGTTCCCTAACAATTAATCAATATGTTAGAATTGGGTTTCAGATAAATAACCATGGCAAAAATGTTCATGCTTATTTTGAGTTAAAAGGGGCACCACTGCATGGCTTAATCGCATTTTAAACTACAGCTGAGAGAGGCAATTTCGGAACTCATTTGATGTGTATTGGTGCCATCTCCCAGGTGAGGGTAACGAGGGTCAGTCCCTGCCAGCCTTACCAGGTGTGGGAAATGTTTCCTTTGCAGGCAACTTTAAAGAGGTACCAAACTGAACACAGAAGCAAATTAGACTCTTTAGAGAAGTCTCAAGCTGAGCTGAAGAAAATCAGAAGGAAAAGCCAAGGAGCCCGCAATGTGCTGAAGTATGAGCACAAAGAAATGGAGGTCAGTGGGTTGTCTCATGTTTGTTTCTTTCTGTCTGTGAGAACTGCTCAGCAGAGAACATTCAGCTGTTCCAGGGCACATCCAGGGCTGGTTTAACATTTGATTTCTGAAGCTTCCCACAATTTTTGAACATGCAGTTATTAGTTAATGCACTTAACCCCTCTGTAAGTTGGTTGGCAACAGTTAAACTCAACAATTTCAAAGAAAGTGGATTTTTGGTTCCTTAGAGTTGGTTTCTGTGAAACACACCCCCAGAGCAGGTGTTCCTGTTGAGTCGAGCTCTGACTGCTCTGCTCTTCCTGGTCAGGCTCCCGCTCCTTTCCAGGTTTCACCCCCTGACCGCTACTTGATTTTTATTTATTTTTTTAAATACCTCTGTAACTACACCTTTATGCAGAGGTTTGCACAGGGAGTCAGCTGTGCTATGCAAATTCAGTAGTAATTTGCTATGAATTAACTTCCCAAAGTAGGCACATGCCAACTCCCGTTACCCCCCATGATCCGTTCCTGGTGCTCCTAAGCCAGCAGCGCCATCCTGAGGCCAACGGAGACATGGCAAACATGAGGAGGAACCGCTTTAAATACCCAGTCATGCTCTGGTTGTCATGGAGCTTTCAAAAAATACTTGCCGTTGATATCTTTATCTGCACGATAACTTTATTTTGTGGTAGCTTATGTATTTTTTCTCTTTCTATTTTAATTTTCAAATAAAGCCTTGTTTATACAAGGCACAGTAAACATAAATAGCACTAGCACCTCTTTCTTTCTACTGGTCTTTTCATCTGCATTCATAAAAGTTTGGGTTTTTTAAGGTGTGGGAATTCAAGGGTCGGCATCTAATCACAGTTTAGCCATGAATCCTCATAACCTCAGACAAATCTAGTTTAGTCTTTTTAATAACTCGTTTTCCCTTCTCTGAGAAGGAGTAGAGATTCATCGTAGTTCTGTGAGAGTAAATGTAACTGCGATGGAGCAGGTGAAGGTAATTAGTGTAATTAGAACACCTGTGGCCTTACACCTGCTCAGCACAGTTGCTGCTTTGGTGCCATATTCTTACTTGATGCAGCATTTTATCTGGAGGCTAAAAGACTGTTCCCTGTTTGGCCTCACTTCCTCGCACCCCCTGACCAGCTCATCGACTGCCTGGAATGAGGAGCACCTTTCCCCAGGGTGCGGGGGAGCAGGTGTGTGTGAGAGACAGAGATTGGATGCAGAGCCACCCCCTGCCACCCCCCTGCCACCCCCCTGCCACGCCACACGCTTTTCTGGGGCTTTTGGAGTTTGCTTCAGGAATTGGACAGAGTATCAAGTGGAACTCAGAGACTGTGATTTATTTTTTTCCTTAGTATTTGGAAACAGTGAGCTCTCGCCAGAGTGACATCCAGAGATTCATTGCAGAAGGTTGCAGGGAGGCTCTCCTTGAAGAGAAGAGGAGGTTCTGCTTCCTGGTGGACAAGCACTGCAGCTTCACCCAGCACATGCACTTCTACCACGGCCAGGTCAGTGGTGGGGGGCGGACAAACCAATGCAGTCCCAGGAGATCTCCTGCCTGGGACACGCTCTGGCCCAGGAGTGCTGTCAGCAGTTCACAGTATTTGCAGTGCCATGCTCTCTTACATGGATTGTAGCAACAATCAAGGGTTACTGGGACTTTAAAAAATCGCATATTAAGGAAAAAAAGTATGGACTGGTCTGGCATTTCCGGTGTCTGGTCCTGAAAAAGGACAGTCCCTTCCTACAACATATTGTTTGTTTCAAAGAGCTATGACTTATGAATATCACTGGAAAGACTTCCATTTTGCCGGTGTTCTCACTTTAGTATAGTGAAAATTAACAAATAGGTCTCACAGTATTATGATAAAGTGTGTCTCTGACAAGTGCCTGTTACACTCGGCTGCAGTGTGCGGACTTCCTGAAATCCAAGCTGCCTGGGTGGCAGGAGATCTGCAGTGATGCCACCAAAGTGCCTGAGAAAGTCCAAATGATGATCGAGGAGATAAGGACACCTGGTTCCACGCCGCAGCCGTCACCCATGATAGAGAGAAACACTATGGTAGGTTGGTCCTCAGTGGCTCTTATTTTTTATTTTCTTTCCTTCTTTCCTTCTTCCCTTCATGATTCTTATTAGCATATTAGAGTACAACATCTAAATTCTACCTATTTGTTATGTCGTATCACCATTAGTTGTTGAATTTCTAAATGATATTAATAAACTTCTAAGAAAAATCTGGAGATTACCTAGGTGTAACTGTGCTATTTGTGGAAAAAAAGAGCTATCACAGCATTCCCACTAACAAACATTTATCAAGGGACAGAAGCCTCTTACAAACTCTTCTATCAGCCATTTCACAGCAACATGAGGACTTTCTGGTGGCTCTAGATATGTATCATTTGGGAATATTTAAGCATTGTTTTCTAGAATTGAATGTTGCAAATAGGCTGTGGCTGTCTCCTCAGTGTTGTGGTACTGTTGTTGTTGTTGTGACTCCAGATTGGAAATGATTTTTATCCTCACTATGAAAACGCATCCAAGGTGCCCCCTGCTCCTGCGGGGAGGGCGTACACCAGCCCCCTTGTCGACATGTTCAACAACCCTGCGGCAGCTCCAAAGACCTCTTCTGAAAAGCTGAGCAGCTCAGGAGGTGAGTGTGGCTTTGCTGCAAACTGGGCAAGTGTAAATGACACTATAGTGTTCACAATTATCTCAGGACTCCTGGACTGCCGTGATAACATGGGTTCCAGGAGGTAGAGAGGCGCAGAGAATGGTCTTTACAAAGCATTTACCTAGGTCACCTAACAGGAGAAATCAGTGTTGCAAGAGAAGAACTGCCTGCAGCAAAACACGGGTCAGGATGGGTAGATTCTTACTTCAGTCACTTCCCGTGTGTCCCTGATTAACCCAGTGTAACTGCTCCTGACTTCAGTCTTATCAGAGGACACGTTCTGTAATTTTGACCCATCGGGGAGATTATTTCAGTGCTCACAAATGAACATGGGCTGCTCTTTTGGCTGGCTCTGGTGTCCTTGAGGACACATGGCATCAGGGAAGAATGGACACGGGAGGGAATGAGGACAGGCCTGGTGTTCTTTGCTGACACGTAAAACCTATAACTGAGGTGTGTAAGTGGAACCAAAGCAGCACAAAGTCTCAGAGCTTGGTTTGCACTTGAGTATTTTTATCTACATTTTTTTTTGCCACTAGACTACTAATTGTATTTAATTTTGTTAGTGTGCGGCTAATTTTGCTTCTTTTGCTTTGTTTTTCTTTTTTTGACAGAGAATTCAGATGACGCCAGTTTATCGCGCTCAACTTCTGTCGCGACAGGACTAAACATAATGAAAAGGCAAAAAGTGAAGACCATATTCCCCCACACTGCGGGAAGTAACAAGACCCTGCTCAGCTTCGCACAGGGGGACGTCATCACGCTGCTGGTGGCTGAGGAGAAGGACGGCTGGCTCTACGGGGAGCACGACTCCACCAAAGTGTGAGACACTCGATGCATGACCCAGTGCCAACAGGCAGGAGGAAGGGCTCTGCTGTCAGACCCAGCCCGTGGTTCTCTGCCTGTCACTGGGGGGGAGCTGGGCTCTGTGAGGGGAACCACGGCCCTTTCTGTAGGGACATCCTGAACACTAATTTGGTATCATCAGAAACGGGGTCTCTCACAGTTAAATCTCAGTTCACTGAGTACTGGTTTGTCCTCAGGTGTGTTTTGAAAGATATCTCATGTTCTATAGGCTATGAACTGAAACACCTTTCCCATTACAGAAAAGGATGGTTTCCATCGTCGTACACCAGACCACTAGAAGAATCCACAGAAGAAAAGGCCTTTGTTCCAGAGCCAAGGTAACATTTTGGGTGGGAAATGCAGAAACACCCAAACATTCTCTAACATTTATTAAAAATGTTATTTTTGTGCTGGTGTTGGATTCAGTAACACATACAGTAAATACTTTCTAACAGTCTGCAGTGTGGCCCCGTGGTAACAGTAACATCTTCTAACGGTTGCACAATGACCCAGGAACTAACTTCACCCCAACTTTACCATGTAGAGTCCCACTGACTTCAGTTAATTGTAGGCCTTTATTAACTTTCAGCTCATGCTCTTTTGTGCTTTCCTGGAGCTAAAGATAGATGTGTTATAGGAACTGGAATTGTTTCTGGGTTCTGTCTCGCAGCCCTGCTCCGATCCGAAGTATTAGTTCTGTAAATCTTGTGGAGAAGGGTGATGTTGTCCTCCCACCGCCGGACTATCTGGGGTCTGTACAAACGGATAAAAGAGTGGAGCCTTCCAAAGGTGCTGCTGGTAAAACACCACCCGACAGAGCAGACAGCGCAGGCCCGGTGAGTGACCCACACCACGAACCACATGTGCTGCCCTGCTCCTCTCCCCCAGCTTCACTGAGCTCCTAAACCAGGCCCTGGAGTGTTCCACCTTAAAACGTTCTACCTTAGGAAGTTCCACCTGGATGCAGCTGCCTTTGGGGCAGCCTGGGCTTTGGGATTTCATTTGTCTGTGGTATCAGGAAGGGAGAAGTGGTCAGGGGTGTAACACGGGGTACAGGGGGGTCACTCTGCTTGGCAAACTGCGGGACTTAAATGCCAGGGTCTCCCTTCCCCGGCAGGACCAAGAGCCCTGCAGCAGGTTTGTGTCACTCTATGTCAATATCTTATTTTTCTTTTTCAGAAACCTGATGTGAATGGCATTATAAAACCACCTTTTCTAAGGTATATTTTTAAAGCTTTCACACTAATTTAGTTGATTTTTGTGTTGATTTTTATAGTGGCTTATATTATTGTATTGATTGTGAGGAGAAATAAGGATGTTTCTCCTTAATTACCCCGTGACTCCTCCTAGGCACTGGTCAAACATTATGGCTAGAATTGGTAGCACTTTTCTTAAGAGGGGCATCAAGTAAAATACACCATGTAGGCCTTCCCAGAACAGTCAGTGTTCCTCCAGGGGTGTGAGCAGGGAGCAGGACTTCAACTATGTCTTTGAGGGTAAAAAGCAAAAATCTTTGAAGACTGGGAGCTGTTTAAAGAACTATCCAGATCTAACTGGGCATTAACTTCCCAGATTTTGGATCACTGCGAAGTGAGTCTTCAAATGTAAGCTTGCTTTAAAAATTCCCATTAAACTAAGAATTGCACAGACTCTTTAAGTCTAAAACTGTAAGTCTGTCTTCAGACAACTTGGATGAGGAAACTGCTCGACCTGCAGCCAGTCAGGCAGTAACTCTGTGCTTCTCTTTGCAGTGGAGAAAATCCGTTTGCAACCGTGAAGCTCAGACCCACAGTAACCAACGACAGATCAGCACCCATTATTCGATGAACACGCGCTCCGCACACCCGCACCTCCTCCTCACAAACACCCTCTGCAGCAATGACAGTTACTCGCTCAACTTGGTCTAAACATGTATTTAATTACTGTACAATAGAATCATACCCGAATGGATCCTGATTTTTTTAAAAACTTAAAACTTTCTAATGAGTTAATGCTTCGGGCTAACGTTTGAGCACTTTGATTTTACAGCATGCCTTTTTCTGTAGTAGTAATTGTGAGACTCCTGGCGCTAGTTTGGATGCTGTAGTGACCCAGTGTAACTGCTAGCTCTCAGCTCTGAGCCTCTGGAAACACAGTGGTAAGTTCTAGAATACAAGCCTGCCTATGCCACTTACCAAATAAGAAAAAAGATGATTATTTTTTTTTCCAAACAGAATAACGTAACAACTGCCTTATTCCAGAATAGAGAATTGCCTGTATAAAGTGATTATACATTATTTTGTTTAAGACAGACACCCTAGGTTATAAATAAATATTTATCCTTTAAGAATAGACAATCTGTAATGCTTTGCTTAACATTGACATAGAAATTTTCAAGTGTTAACACAAACCTTTTTTAAGTCTCATGTTGTACTCTCAGCACATTCTTCAATGATAATTTTTTCTTTAAAACACACTGTTGAGCTTTAGTCTTATAAAATGTCATAATAAAACAGTGCCATGATTTTTTTCTCCCATGCTAACACAAAAAGCTGCCTTTGAAGTCACTGCGTTGCTGCAGCCTTCCCCAACAAGAACAGCAGGTGAAGTTTGACAATTTTTGGCTAAGGAGCCCCCAATGGCATAAATGCTGGGACAGCCCTGTCTGTGTGCAGTGAGAGCCAGCTCTTCATGCCAGTGAGGAGCAGGGCTGCACCGCTGGCTTCTCTGCAGGACTCTCCCAGTTCAGAACAGTCACTGTGTCGGGGTGGGCACTGTGTCCCCACACAGCTCAGGTGCCATTTCCCACCTGCTGTAGGAACTCTGTACTGTCACCACCGCCAGGGATTACATATTTGTTTGGTTGTGCCTGCTTCTACTGCTATAAACAGTGAATTCAAGTCATGTGAAATGCCTTTCAGCTACTTAATATCAGAAAATAGTACACGAGCATGTGATGGATGGCTGCAGAGGTAGAGCCCGCTCATTCCACCGCCTTTCAAGTTCAAGGCTGAGGACACTTTTGCTGTGGAGCTGTGTAAGTATCCGCTATCCCAGCTCTTCAGAAGCAGACCCTACACCCAAGCCCACTCCCTAAAGCACATTAGAGGCAAGTCAGTCTAGACGGTGTAAGCTTTCAGTTACTCATTGTCAGAATTATATACCCTCTGATGCAAGACTCTTTCCTCAGGGCACTCAGAGGTGGCAGTGCCACAGCCCCTTCCCCTGTCCTGCCCCAGGCAGAGGTTACTGCTCTCTGGGAACTAACACCAGTTCCTCAGGGGCAGGAAGCTGCTGGGACACCACTGCCCTTGGTGTGTCCCTGTGAGCAAAACCTTCACTAATTGAAATAGGGCTCTTCCTCTCACAGAAGACTGGGGGTCCATGAGCATAGTGGTGGCACACACAACACTTGCATCTGATGTGCTCAAACAACAGCCCTAAACCGTGGCTCTAGCGTAAGGGTCGTGGCACCTCTTTATCCCTCCTTGTAGCCAGATCACTACCTCCACTGCCAGACTGCACCTCATCAGCCACATCAGTCACACACTTAATAATCCAGCCACAAGTTGAGGATTGCAAAAGGAAAAGCAGTTTTATTTAGTTGTCAACAGGTGCCACTAAACATGGAAAACAAGTTGGGTTTTCATGTTTTGCAATGCACATGCTCATAAAAGATTTAAGTTTAAATTACATGCAAGAGGCTAAATTTCTTCACACTTTACAAAACAGGTCTGAAGCAAATAAAATGATTGTACATGACATTTACATTAGAAAGAGTATGCTAACAGTTGTAGCTTCCAGAAGCACGTCCATGGTCACTCCCTTAGCCAAAAGCTGCCCCACAATTAGGGCATCTTCTCTGCCTCAGTGCAAGACAGAAGAGAATCCCAATAGGAAAGAACACAATGGCACACAGAACACCGAGACAGGTGAAGGTGTCCTCCAACACGCCAACCCTGCGAAAAGGGAAAACACACACAGTCAGGGACACCCACCAAGTCTGCCCCAAGTTACCACTCTCATCTGGCAGTCACTAAACCCACACCATTTTACAGAGCAAGGTAAGGCTCAGAGTTGGATGGGGGGTTCCCCTTTAAAAGCTGTTACTCTCAAAGCTTGGAGCAGGTTTTGAATTATACCATGTAAAGAAAAGCAGGAAATCTGCAGGTGATCAGACTGTAGCAAAGGAGTCTGAAAGGTTTAGTTCAAACGTGCTGCTTAGTTCCAGGCAGCAACAATTGCTCAGTCCCTGCACTCTGGGACTGTACCTGGTCATCAGCTCCACTTACCAGTGATGTGAGTACAGAACACAGCGTGCCGGGGGACGAGTGACAGCACTCTCCCTGCAGAAAGCTCACAGAGAGCCTGAGCCCCTGCAGCCCTCTGTGTTCTTGCACCCCAGCTCCACCAACCTCCCCAGTGACTGCATGGGAACAGGACCTCACATTCGGGATGGAGACTGCAGCATCAAGCTTCACTCCTTGCTTAGCCCTTCTTGGGGTCAAGTGCTTCTCTCCAGGTGAGGATAAAATTCTCTAGAACTAAACCTTAGCAACACTGAAGCTTACTCTCAAAGTGAAAAGCAGCCTAGAAATGTGAGCAGCTGTACTAAATAGTCAAAACTTTGGAGTTTAGCAAAACACTTGAAGAAGATGCATCCTCTGAGAGTCCCTGGTAGGGTGCAAGTCTACAGAAACAGAGCTGAGTGACCTTGACACAGACACCAGGAGCGGGTGCCAAGGCCAACACACTGTTGTTTCCCTCCAGAGCAGTCCCAGACCGACTGTACACATAAACAGAGCAAAGGCAGGCAGATGAGACTCAGAGAGTTCCTTCCTGCACTTGGCTAAAACATCACAACTGATTAAACTTAACAACCATTCTCCTTCCCCTCAACCGCCATAAGAAGTCAAAGGCTCTTCAAAGTCTTCTTAACGTTCTGCTGCTTACACAGCTTCGTGTTCAGCTTAAGCTTTCAACATCAGTCCCCTCCTTGTGATGAACTAACTTTGTTTCTGTTGAGAGAGCTCGTGACAGACGTGGACTTTCTATTTGGTATGAAGGTCTGTCAGGGTACAGCTGATCCCAGCCGTAGCTTTATAGTTTCATGACAAACTGCATGGTGTGCCAGCAGATGGGGGAGCCAGGCCCTGCTCTTCTCTGGGCCCATCAGTCACTGACTCACCACACTCACCCCACACCACCTCAGCAAACAGCACCCAGAGATGCGACGGGCTCTCGGTGGTTAATATCTCTTTTCAGGCTGTGTCTAGTTGTGATGTTCTACTACAAAGGACTGCAGCCCAGCAGATAGTGAGAGCGGTGCCAGCCTCCCTTCCCTCTCAGCAGAGCCCTCCCCAAAGGAGGACAGGCAGCAGGGAGAGCGCTGCCAGGGAAGGGGTACCAGAGGAGTTACAGCAGAACAGCAGTCACTGTCACCAGCAGAAAAAAGGCAAATGTCATAGAGGTACATAATGAAGTAAACTTTTTCCATGGACTCTGGATTATTAATGCTTCATCCAGATGACTATGTAGGACTTTGGTCCTCATTTGAACAAAAAAGATGTGGATTAATCAGAGAAAGTCAAAAAGGAAAGAAAAAATAGTAAAGAAAACGTAGCTCCCATCAACTCACTCTTGCTACCCAACTTTCAAGTCCTAATCCCAAAACAGTTGTTACACCATTAGCCTGTGCCAGGAAACATCAAAATCTTGCTAGGTGGAGTTCAGAGCACACCAAACCCAGCAGAGGTGCTTTTATTAGACGGACTTTGAAAGCAGAGTTGAAGAGCCTCCTATTAAGCCTTGCTTCCAGAGATTTCTAACTGGCTGTCCCACCTGAGGGACATTATGGTGTATGGGGGGGGTTATATATCATAGCTTAAGGCTAACAGCAAAACTTGGGCATAATTTTTTTTGCTTAGGGTGTATCTGGACACTGGAACTGCCTTACACTAACACCATCTTTTTCATTCACCCAGACTGAGCGTTCCCTTCCTGCAGGCATCCAGCTCTTGCTTTGTTAGTGCTTCTAAATCTTCTCCTTGTCTCTTCATAATGCCAGATCCAGTTCCTGCCCTGAAGTCCACCTTTGTGACAAGTAGCCAGTGTTCAGTTAGGAATAGAAGCAGCTTAATTTTGATCTGACCTTAAAGAATAAACACACTAATTAAACATTAAGGGTACTTCTGGCCAGCCCCAAGTAGCTGCAAACCCAACTGTAGATGACGGCTGTCTAACCCATTACAATCAAGCCTCCTAATCAGCTTGCAAGACCCAAGTCTATTGGTCAGCAGATGTTCCTGACACTTGAAATAGAATTTATTTTAAACTCCCTTCCCCCTAAACAGAGTTACTCAGGAAGTGTTTTATGGCAATGCAAAATGCCATTAAAGAAAAAAAGGGAAAAAATAAACCTCACAGATGGCCATCCGTATCCAACAGCAGCCCGTGCGGGAAGCGCTGCTGGGTCAGGGAGAGGGGAAGCCCAGAGGGGCTGAGCTGCAGGGAGAGCTCTCCTGAGCCCGACCTCCCACCACCAGGACATCCCTGTGCTCCAGAGCCAGCTCCCGGCACAGCTAGAGCCCTGCCATCACTACTACAGCATGAACTACAACAGCACCTCTTGGCTTCTCTTGGTTTGTGTCACCACCTAATTTTAGATGAACACTTATCCAATCGCTGCTTAGCCAGTTACTAAATTTAGAACAAAAAAAAATCTGACCTTTTTATAACAGAGAATTAGTATTTTGAGGTTTTGTGCTTGTATGCCTTACCTGAGCTGCAGAGTAATTAGAGACTCCAGGTTCAAACTGTAGATTCACTAATGTAACCAAACATAAATTTTGTTCTACAACATAAACCACATAAAAGCTGATTAAAACTGCACCACTCCCAATCTAAAAATAAAGCCGAAAGGTTTATTTATACTGCAAGCAGCGTCTTGGATTTAAGCTGTAACTGCAGCTGCCAACTCCATAAAGTAAGGTCAATTATTCACACTGACAAGTATTTAGAACAAAATTACTTTTCAGACAACCCCCTTCTTGAAAATAAGTCTTAAAACAATAATATCTTAAGTCAAACGCTCAGAACCAGAGGGCCAACAGTGAGATCTGCAAACACAGCATCAGTACAATTTAACACGTGCGTTTTTAGACTTAACACTACATCACAGTATTTAAATGTGTGCTTATCACCATCTTCCATCCCTTACAAATAAAGCTGAAGGATGATCCCAGGTAATCAGAGACAGTGTGGTTGTATGACAAGCTCCGCAAGACCTGAAAAGAAACTGCACTTCACTTGAGGGTGTCTCTGGGAGTATCTACACAGCTCCCCCTCACTGATCAGCAGGTGGGAGTTTCACATCAGTGTCCCCTCCCTCCTGCCACCGAGGCTGGTGGAGTCTCTAGATTTCAGTGGAAGCATCAGACTAGTGACAAGCATGGACTTTGGAACCTGCATGCCAAATCTTTAATTTTGAACGTTAAAACAAACATAGCTTTTCTCTGTCTGCCCTGCCTAATACAACAGCAGCAGCCAGGCTGAGCACGCTTAATTTCACCTGCAAGCAGCAGCAGAGTTGACAATTACATATACAACTCCTGAGTAAGCATGCCATGGTCAGAGTATTCCATCCCACGAGGAGAGGAGCCAGCTCCTCCAGCCTCAGCTCGGAGGCATATCGAAGAGTTGTTGATCCATGTTCACAGAAAGGAGCCTCAATCTATCCGTAGCCGCTGGCTTGCCCTCCTCAACACAAGCTGTACGTATATGTAAATTCAATTATCCGTAAAAGTCACCTTCAAGTAAGAGACATCACAGTATTTGCAGATTTATCTGAACTTCCTTATGCTTTAGGCCCCAGTTCCTACACGGAGGGCAGGCTGCAGAGACAGAGAAATTCTGGCAAGGGTAGAGCTGCTGGACTGGGGAGAAGTTACTGCCACCCCGGTGAGTGATGCCAAACAGCAGCTCCACGGCGCCTGCTCCAGCCTGCTGTACTGCTTTCTTCTTTGCCATCACGTGCCCAAGTCACTGCTGAATTTCATGCCCCGACTGCTCCAGCCACCGAATGACAGCACAGCAGGACGAACGCCCCGCTCTGCCTGAACAGCACACGGCTACACAAAGCTGCAGGCTGCAATACAAGGGAGCTGCACTGACTCCCAGCACAGCCTGACCACCTCTGTGATACAAACCAGTGCCAGGAGCTGCTGCACTATTACAACTATTCCTCTTCAGAGCACTCTTCAAACAGTATCTCAAAGTTGGCTTTGCTCACAAGATTCAAAAGGATACCTAGCATGTCAGCCTGCTGTCAGAAACTGAACCTCCGCTGGTTTCCTCACAGTATCAGACATGCTCTCTAAATAGTTAGGGTTTGGCTTTTTTTTTTTAATTACTTGTATGTTTAACCAGTACATATTATGAAATTCTATTAAGAATATTTACATAAGGTTTAAATATAGCTGTTGAGAAAGGCTATAGAAAGCCCGTATCCTGAACGGCCTTCTATCAAAGTGCATATGGAGTTTGTGATGGAAAGAATCAAAGAAAAAACAGAAGACTGAAATTTTGAAAGACTTTATCACCCAAGTGCAACTTTCCCAGAGTCTGTTCTCTCAGGAGATATGCAGTTAATTGAAGAAAACAAAATTTCAATCAAAACCTGAGAACTTACTGCTTTGTCAAGTAAAAAACCCAACCAAAACAAAACACCATGGCAGGGAGAATAGCTTAAATCAAGTTTGTCCCATCCTCCGATCTTGGAAGAAGCCTCAGTGTTGTTGTAATTTGGGACCCACTACAGATATAGAGCAGATCTTTTGTAATTGTCAGAAGAGAGAGAAGAGAAAGCTGCCACAATGCAGCAGTGTTGTGTCCTTATGTCTGAACACTTGTTCAACAGGAAAATAAAAACCCAGCAGGACTCGGGCAAACCAGGGCCCAGGTCCCAGATTTTGAAAGAACCAGCTTTTGCAAACATCACATCAAGAGAATGTTTTCACAATTTTTAAAAGGATCTTTCTTCTGTTGAGTAACAGGAAAGCAAACATTCCTTTGCAGTTTGTTCTACCCAACAACACAAGACAGAGAAAGAGAAAATGAAAGTGACCACAAGAGAAGCAACCAGACTGCATTCTCCAAGCTAAAATGATAATTACACGGCTGGATTTCTAAAGTTAGTGGCTGTAATGACTCAATCTGCACTTGGGAACATAAAATAGTTTAACAGCAGGACTTGGCTGATCCTTAGATGTCAACTACAAGCAATGAAGCTGACCGTATTCTGCAACTCAGTTTAATTCTCTGTACATCGGGGCTGGGAGAACTCCTCCCACTAAGACAACAGGACTACAACCACCCAAGACATTTTAATAATGCAAGGAAGGATGGAACACGGATTAATACTGAAGTCTGTAATTAGAAAGCAACACTGACCAATGATGAATGAGGATGATCTGACTAATGAATAACTCTAAGCAAGAGGCACAGCTGGCAGGACAGCAGAGTCATCCCTCAGATGCAGCAATGCTTCAGTCAGAAGAAAAAAATAAATGCAGTTTCATGGGGAGCAGGAGCACACCACCTACGTGTAGAGAGGCTGCTGCTGCTGGACACACTTTGTACTTTTTATTACTCCATACCATAAATCAAGCCTGAAGATCATGTGCTGTAGCTAACTTATTAACCCCAAGATCACTCGTGACTGCAGTAAAATAGACTCCTACCCAAATAACAGCCCAGCAGTGCACATTTCTCCTCACCACCACACATTTTAAGCTGGAAATAGTTTTGATTTCAATTAGCAACATTCAGACATTCCACAGTGCAAAAAGCCGGTTTGTATTTCTGATGGTAGAAATCCTCTCGATGGCCTTTAGCCTACGCTATCCGTTACATTATTCCACAGCCACAAACCAGGCTTTTTCCTCATCAGCCAAAGCTGATGGACTTCCCTAATGACCATGCACAGCATCACATCACAAGAGTGGCAGGACGACTGACTCAGCCGTTTAATAACAAAACAAAGTTTTTCTATGCACCATTAATAGCTTTTTATGTTTATCAGTGCTCTTTCAAGAACTCTTCTGTTCACTGGTGTATTCAGAGTGTAGCTGCATTTGCATTCTTCATAAAATAGGTTTCCAGGCCAAGGAAGTAAGCTAGAACTATGTTTAAGGTCTTGAGAAGTCCAAGAGGATTATGAGCTCTTTCCCTAAGAGATGCTGCCAGCGTGACCTTCCAGCACGTGAGCCCTGGCCCTTCAGGTCCCTGGAATATTTCGAATATTGTGCTTCCCACCCAGCTCCTCTGCCCGTTCTCTCCAAGTGCCAGACTATCAATTCCTTAACCAGTCAAGAGACAAGCAATCTTAGATTTTTCCCTCCTACACTGACACCTTGACTCTTCCTCTAAAGACAATTAGGAAAACACATACTGAAACTGCAAACATGACTATGGCACACCGTTCCTAATACAGCTACTCATCCCTGATCCAGAGGATTTCAGAAGCCCAAGAAGAGCCCTACAATTTAAGCAGTGCACTACTATGCCTCATTGTAATCAACGTGTCATGGTTCTCCTCACAACCTCCCTACCCAGTCTAAAACAAAACCTGGAGATCCCAGAGTAAACGAGGTTTTCGTGAAGGGTATTTTGGTTTAGGAAAGAGTCCACAACGTACAGAGCAGCAGGTACCCTCCAGCAGAGCAAGTCTGATGACTTGCTAAAGAAAACTATTCAAGTGAGGTCATTTAAAAACACCTCACAAAAGATAGCTCATTTTCCCAAATTTGGCTAAAGTTAGATATTATACTTGCAAATGATTATTTCAAAGGTGTCTCCTAGAAGATCCCAGGATACCTTCCAGCAAAAAAGGGAAAAAAAATAACCCCAAGAATAGCAGCAAGAGCCTACCAATCTGAAGTTATCACAAAGACCACTTCCATAGTAAAACATTTTGAGATTTATTTGGTTTGGGGCCAGGAGGTCTGTATAAACACACTGCCTGCTTTTTGCCAAGCAGCACGTAACATCTTTCCTGTCTTCTGGTTGAGCTAAAGCATAAGCATTTTAATGTAATTACTTAGGTGGCAGGATCTACCACATCCTCTGAGCAGCTCAGTGGTTACTCTCCCTCACTGTTCAAAACACACAACTTTGAGATCAATAGCTCCAGCTGGTACAGGTTTTTCAGCCTGAACGAGTGGCATTTCAGCAGGCACCTGGTTTTACATACCACCACAAGATACTTCTTGTTTGAATCCACCTTTGAAGGCAAGTACTGACTCTCAGATAAACACCAATTCTGACAAAATCAAGAGGCATTTGGGGACAGCCTCTGCCACTACAATCGCACTGACCACACTGAAACCTGGTGTCATTTCTGCTATTCCAGCACATCTGTTTCCTACCTATTTTTTTGAAAGGGATAAGCAAGGGCTCAGACTTGCAGAATACTAAGTGCCTCCTCACAAGATGCCACAAGGGCAACTCCCATACATTTTACCAGAAAAGGCATGATGCTGCATTTGAGTCAGAGTTGGCCAGGCGCAGCAGTGCCCGAGCTGCACCAGCAGCAATCTGCCTGTCCTCGCCCAGCATTTTATGTCCTGGGACGGGAGGAACAGAGACGTGCAAAGGGACTACAGCTGACTGACAGCACTAACGTGGAAGCAGAGTGCCTCCTTCCCTTTTTTTATGGCTGTTGATCTTGGAAGGGGAAGTTGTTCTTTTGTTGCAACTCCAACAGCTGACCACTTTTTTCTGGTTTTCACCACTTCATCAGATTAACACTTTGAATCAGATCTATTAATCTCCCTGTTTTTCTGCAGTAAGAAGAATTTTAAGGTAAGAGATCTTTTAAAGCCTCAAGATACTGATGTTTTCAACCAATACCACCCTGCCTGGTTCTGCATGGTCTGGGTGTCAGGAACGGGGACACACAGCACAGCAGTGGAAGCCCTTCCACAGGACTGCCAGATAACCAGAAGTGACTATGGTCAAAGATTTCAGAAAGTTTCACAATAAAATCATGCTACTCACTATCACCAGACATAAACACATCAGGAAGGACTTCCCGTCATCCTCTCCCCCAAGAACTGCCCCTTTACATCTGTGACTGAACTGCCTTCTCACTAGAAACACGAGCCCATCAGGAGAAGCTCACACTACATAAATTAAAGCACTCCACTGCTAAATTTTAGAGCTTTTTCAATTATTTAAATTCTAATACACACATGCAAATAGAAACTGTTGAAAACCAATAACTATATGGATATCTGTAATTTAAAAAATAAAACCCAAGACTTAAGTTTATTTCTCATCTAGAGGGCCGTTTTACCTGCAAGCAGGACAGCCACCAACTACTACTACAGAAGTGGTGGTAGCAGGCTGTTGGATAATGGTGTACGTGCTCGAATAGGCTGGCTGTGATGTTGGTGGAGGAACAGCATACCCTAAAAATAAGAAAAAGAAAAAAAACCTTCAATCACCACATATAAGGCAGAAAGAACAATGATAATTTAGAAGTATGGAAACACAACGTGGAAAAAAATAAATAGAAATGGAGTCTTGATTGAGCAGTTTAAGAAGCTCTATCAAAATCAGAATTGGAACACACTACTCAAAGCAAAGCCACTTCATAAACCCAAGTATCTAGCACAACTTAACCATCTAAAGAGGACGCTGAGCTAATAATTAACTTTGAGAAATCAGTTCAACGCTGTTTGAGCACTAGGGAAAAACGGTTTAAACAAACGATCACAGCTTTCACTGCTGGACATTATGTATCAGGTATGTCCTAACCCAGTGGACAAACTAGCTGAAACAGAGTAAATATTTCCCTGGTTCCAACTTAACTTCCATATATTAAGTCTATAACCAGAGAGAGATGTAGGAGTGATAGGATGCAAGTGGAAAGGAAGCAGGATGCATAGCACAGAAAAAAGCCCCAAACTTTCAGAAAACCCATGTTGTTAGCTAGTGTGTCATTTTAACAGCTGCAGTTGGAAAACACAAGCTCTTAACTACTGCATTAACACTAAAAAGTTAAAAAAAAAAACGAACCTTTTTAAAGGGATGGTGGGATGTATGCAGTGTAATCATACAGTCTAGGTATGTTTGCCCAAGTACAATTCATTTTGAGCCTGTCTCCCAGGGCACAGATCTCAGATTTTCACCAAGTTATGCATCGGTAAAGTCCACCAGCCTCACTACTTAAAATTAAACTGAAAATAATCAGTTATATTTGTATTGTAGGAAAATAAGCTCCAAGTTATTAGCAAGAAATCAACCTACAGCCCCAAGATTCAACCCAATGCTTGATGACTGGGGGTCCGCCTGCTGCATGCGGCTTATTCCCTGTAACTTCTGAAACATTCCCTGAACTCCACAGAGCCCTTCCCGAGAGACCACTTCTTTCTTTGACGGCGGTCGGCATTACTTCAGTTAACAGGAGCACTCTATCTACTCACCTGCTTGAGTCTCTCCAAGACCACTGAAGTGTGTCAGAAAAAACAAACATTAACCAGACACGGCGAAGCGCCCGCAAAGAGCGGTGCGGGGCCGGGGTCTGCCACCGCGGGCGCAGCTGGGCCTCCCCGCCATTGTTTTGAGGCGGAAGCCCCGCACCCCGCGGAGTGCGTGCCACGGCAGCCGCTGCTTCGGGGAGGGCGAAGCACCAACACGTTACACCCGGGAGGCCCCTGGGGAGGAGGCGCTTCCCAACACCGGGATCCCCCGCTCGGCCCCTCCCTGCGCTGGAGACCGCGGCGGCCCCACCGCCCCCCGGGCCGGAGGCTCCAGGCTCCCCGCTCCCGCCGCTGCTGCCGGGCGGTCGCTCTGCGGCGCAGGCCACGGCCCTCAGCCGCCGCCCCCGCCGCTCCGGTCACCGGGGCCGAGCCTCTCCACGGCCTCCGGTCACCGGGGGG